CAATAATAAAATTGTTGCTTTTTCTTTTTAACTCTTCATAATTATTTTAATTCTAAACATCTGGATTAAATTTTTTCATATTTATTTCCTAGAAATGTAATAAAATTCATGTGATGATTAATTAGTTGAGAAAGTTTTAATTTGTTAATTTATTATTAATGAAATTATTCGTTGATACATTTATAGGCTAAATTATTTTTCAATTTTTATATTGTTTATTTTCAGGAATCATTTCTACATTATCAGAATAATATCATTATGATGTGTTACAGTAAGAAATATTAAATATTAGTCGAATATTAGCATAATTTTGTCTAAAATTTAAAAATTTTCAAATTAAGTAGTCACATAAGTACGATAATATGGAAGTTGGTAGTATATCATTGGAATGTGGTTCAGTACCACCTTTTCCGGTTACCGGTATTAATTATTTACCAATTCCGTCATGTCGACAATCTTCATCATCCTCAGCACATGGTTCAGCATTCTCGTCACCAACTTTTTCACCTCTTGCACCGTTGTTGACCAATTCTGAGGTCATTTCTAGTATTTTATTATTATGTTAATTAATTATAACAAATGAATATCTTAAAAACAACTCAGAATTGATTAACAAATAAATAAATTCATAAAACTTTGATTCAGATTCAGAATTGATCGATAAATGAAAAAATTCACAAAATGAAATGACCTGAAATTTAAAAATTTATATCTTTCAGGTTACAAATTAATCACAAAACATTATAATAAACACAAACACATACTTACATACACATACGTACATGTTTACGTTTCTGTTTACAAATTAAACATTTGAACGAAGTCAGTCGTAAATTTTAAACATTTTGTATTTAAACATCGAAAATGTATTTCTCTGAATTAATATTCACAAATTTTTCTTTTTTAGCATTCAAATAATATGAAAACTGGTAGTAACGTTGACGTAACAGCCGTAGCGGTAGCAGCGGCAGCAACAACGCATAATCCGTTATCATCAATGACTGTACAATGCTTCAATAATGATTCTGCTACCGCAGCATTTGGAAATCCTGCAACAGCAGCGGCAGCAGCAGCGGCAGCAGCGGCGGCAGCTGCCGCATCACAGCCAAATCCATTCTTTTATGGCACAAATCATTTTAGCTTATCACAGTTAGTGTTAATTTCATTCATTTTTGAACTTTTGAAATTTTTTTTTTGTGAAGGTAATTAATTAATTGGCTAATTAATTAATTAATTAATTAATTAAACGCAGTATTTTTTGACTCATTTCATTTAGTTGTTTTTGATCACTTCTAAATGTTACATTTCTTCATTTTTTTTTTCCAATCGACAAAACCTTATCTCTTTTCTCTCATTCTTCTTTCCAATTGAGTTGTATGAGTAATAGATGACAAAACTATGAAATAATTCCTTCTATCGTCTGCATCACATTGATTAAAAAAAAAAACAAACAAAAACAAAAACAATTAGATGTAAGTAGTTAATTTATAAATTTACAAATTTCAAACAAAACTTTCTAAAAAACTAAGAAAGCTTAAAAATTTTGGGGTGGGTAAAAAAAAAAGCAGCAAAACTAAAATAAACCAATATAATACATTATAAATTTATATTTTTGAAATTATAAGCTAGAGATTAGATTTTTTTTTTTTTTGTGGAGAAAAAAAGATGGAATACAGAAATAATTCTAAAACATCTATTCCTTTCAATTTTAATTTGAAATAAGTACAATGCCACTTATTGAGCTACATTTCACATTTTTATTGGCCAATAAATGATAGCAATTTGAGCAAAGTGATGGTAAATGATTGGTCTCAAAAGACAACAACAAATCATATCAAACATATTTGTATTATTGTTATAAGTATTGTTTAGTACATTTATTAGCACAGAAAAAGAAAAAAAAAAGAAAACAATTGCATATAGATTAAATGTTCAGAATATGCTATTTGCTCAAAAATTTTTTTTTTAAATTTCACTTTATGACAAAAATTAAGAAAAAAAAAGAAGAAACAACAACTTTTGTTGTATATCATTGAAGAAAAAAAAAAGACCAAAAAAATTTTAAATTTTCTTAACTTAATTATATCTCATATTTCTGCAAAAATTTTTAAAATTTATTTAAACATTTTGTACTAATACGATTATATATCATAGATATAAGATAATATTTCAATAAACTTAGAAATAAATAAAACAAACTATATCATATTAATGATGCAATAAATATTAAAATTATTGAATGATAATTTAAATAATTTTATTTTGAAATAATTTGAACAATTATTAAATGGTAATTTAAATAATAATTTAAAATGATTTCTGAAATAACATTAAAATTATTATTAAATATTAATTGTACAAATTAAAATAATTTATGCATTATATAGGAATTAATTACTTCCTTGATTAACTCTATTATTCTGTTGATGATTACATCAATGTTTCAAAATGATTTTATTGATAAAATGTAGGACATTTACAAATTTGCAATAATGAAAAATTAATTTGCATATTTATTTTTATCTTTTTTTTTTTTTTTGAAATAATTACATTTTGAATAATTCATGTGATTTTCATGTCTCATCACCACTTCTTCCCGCATCTTGTGATAGCTGACCTTGCAATGCAAAATGATTCTCAATTCTTATAGCTTGACATTTTATTTCTATTTTCATCGTGTTTCTTTGCCATTTTATGACCTCTTAAATTGGCACTTTAAAACTATCAATTCTTTTTCTTTTTTTTTTTCTACGTATTTTTCTTATTTGATACATTTAAATAAATGAGAAAAGAGAGAGAGAGGGAGAGACAGGGAAGAGGAAGTTATATATGATTGAAAATCAGTTAATGGATATTTGAATATTAAATTATTATAAACGCATTGCATGAAACAAACAAACAAACAAACAAACAATATCATTATTATCATTATCAAAGTAATTGAATGATCGTAATCTTTTTTTTTTTTTTTTTTCATTTTTCTCTTTTGTCTATGAATAGAAGAAGATACTGTAATGTTACTGATAAAAATAAAATAAGAAAAAAATTATTTAGAAAAAAAATAAATAAATAAATAAATAAAATACTATAAATGATACTTTTTGCATCTATTTATTATATCATCAAGGGAAAAAATTAGAGAAGAGTATTTGCTATATAGAAGAGTAAACAATTATCATATCTTCTTTTTTCTTCTTCTGATTTTCAATGATAAAGAAATAACGAGAAAGAGAGAAGAGAAAAAAGAAAAAGACTGCCAAAAGTTTACAGTCGATGATAATACGATAATAAAAGTCTGGGAAAGAGAAGGTTGAGATGAAGCATCAATAAGAATTGTTCCAAAAAATAAATAAATAAAATAAAATAAAATAAAAAAAAACAAATCCAAAATTGATATACATTATCCTATCAATTATTAATTATCTTTTGTTGAGTAAGACAAAATTTTGCATTGATTATCAGTTTTAATAGTTTAAAAAATTAAAAGACTTTTTTCCTTTTTCCCCTTTTTTTTTTCTGTATATTCAATTTTCTTTCAGTTAAATTCTAACATTTTCGTCCAAATGTTATTATTATTATTAAAACTAATCAGACAGTATAGTTTTACTAGAAAATTCTAGAAATTATATAATGTTGATGATTGATGAAAGCTTTGTTAAATTGATCACATATTACTAATTTTTGTCATAAATCATTTTTATTTTCTATTTTTATTTATTTTTTTTTTCAATTTTCACTTTCTTCAGATATTATTTAAATATTAATTTTAACAAATTATAATGAAATATTTGAGAATATTTAATTAAAATCGATTATTCAAAAGAAGAAAACATAATTCCCACGCAACAAGCGTTTCTATCTCCAACAAAAACTCTCACATTAAATAAATGCAATTTGATATGACCGAGTTGCATATCGTGGCCAATTAGCGGACCATGGGCTGTGAAATGAGTGTAAACAAATGGTTGGAACGTGACACGTTGTCCAGGCACGTGGACGAGTGACGGAAGCATTGATCAATTACAGCTTAAAAAATTGATACCTTTTTGAGAATTAATTCAGAAAACTTGGAAAAGTTGAAATTTTATATGACAATTCATGATTCTGATTACTACTTTTTGGTGTCAGATTTGTTTAATCTTCATTTCCTTGAAGATGATTGTATTTCATAGTCTGACAGCTCTAGCTTGATAATGTGAATTCAAACTAGGATGAGCAGATTCTGTGATTTGTCTTTGTTTGGTTTCTAGGAAGCATCAACTTTTTTTATTTTACGTCCGATTCTGTCAATGTTTTCTTCACTCATCTCTTTTTTTTTTTTAGAAGGGAGTGGAGAGGAGCTCAAAAATTTGGGAACCTAGTTATTCGAGAATTAAAGATATTAAAAAAATAAAAAAGATGGAATTTTTGATAAGTTACAAATTTATTCCTAGTTTTTTGTACCTAAAGATGAAGGTGTGAAAAACCTCACAAATGATTAGACAAGTATATTGAAAACAGAAGGGTGGGAGAAGGATTAAAAGGATTTTCTCATGTCTTATATTTGTTTAAAGTTAGCTTTCTTATTCTAAATTCAAGTATAAATCATTAGAAAGCTTCTCCTTTTCTTTTACTCTCAGTTATGGAAAGTTAAATCAGCTGACAGGCTGAAGTTAGCATGAATATTCGTACTTATGGCATAGGGTATTCGCTAATGAGCAGTAAGTTTATTTTCCGAATAGAGAAAGATTTATTTGGGAAAATCTTTCCAGTGTGAATATCAGTGAATATCTTGTTTAAAATTCATGATTTCATTATTCACACAGTTTATTGTATTTTTACACTTTTAGAAAAAAAAAGAAAAGAAAGAAAACTTTTGGCGTTCAATCTCTGGACTTCAATCTCCGGCTTTTCCGCTTTTATATAGGTTGTTTGTGGGACATCGTAAGAGACCAACTGATCTTTAATAACTTTTAAATCTTATAACACTATTGTCTTTTTCTCATTTCAGAGAAGTGTTGATGGCTGCTTATCATCGTCAGGGTATGCATGCACACATGGCACCAACAAATTTGGCAACACCAATTCAGTCACTTCCACCAACCTATTCATCTTGTACATCACTTAATTTACCTCCATTCGGAATACGTAGCACGAATATTTCTTCCTCATCCTCTTTGGAAGGTAAGCATTTCAGTAATCTGAAAATTTGCTAAGGAAGCATTGCTGTTATTTTATTTACTTATTGGATACAAAACTTCATATAATCGAGGGAAGCCTAAGGTTTGAAAAGAAAAAATATATATATATATACATGCTCCAAGTTTTGTTCTTTTTCTTCCAGAATACTATGTTTTGTGTGATCTTGGTTCGAAGTTGGCTTAATGTGTTTACAAAACTATTCTGCAGATTGTTAAAATATATTTGCAGCATTTTTGAGTTTAAATTAATGAAAAAAAAGAGCTTTTTGAGTTTAAGTTAACGAAATAAGAGTTTCAGGAAAATATTCCTCAAAATAATTTTGTAGCATTTTGCGCATTGGAAGATGGAACCAGTTTATTGAGGAATCTAGCTGAGCCATACTGCGGTTCCTAAAATTATTTTGAATGCATAATTAATAAGTTATGCACCAGAAAAATAGATAAGTAAGATAAAAATTCCATCTTTCACATTCATTTAGTGATATCAACAGATTAGTTTTTGATTAAGCACTTAGTTGATTCATTGTGATAGAGATTTGTGTCATTTATTATTTTTCTTAAGCCAGATATAGGCGTCAAAAAAATGCAAAACTGTAGCCTTTTCATATCACTTCAAAATGCATTCTGTTTCACTGTCATAATTTTGATTAATGTTAGACATTATAACGGTCTTGCTAGAAATGCAAGGCGTTTTTGAACTCTATTTTTACAACTAATTCGTTTGACCTAGTTGGAAACTGGTTAAGTTTGAACTGCTTTGTGTTGCTAAGCAAATGAAATATTAAAGCTACGGTCAAATAACAATAAAGGACCGGTCAAAACAGGAACAGATAATACTGATCAAAAAGAAGTCAAATAAGAAGTTCAAGCAAACATACTAGCCTGATCCAAAGTAGAAGCTACAAAACGTTTGTTCTATATAGTAACTATAAAATTAATAGTACCAAGTAAAGAACTAATATCTCCAGTATGCAAACTCAAAATCCAACGAAACTTTAGACGGAGGGTAAAAAGTTCAACTACCTAACCCACCATCAAGAGCACTTCATTGTTTCCTTAACTTGTTATGAAGCTCCTTTTTTTCATAATATGTCATTTTTTTTTTTAATTTCCTTGCTTCATATATTACATAACATATGGATTTCATGTTAACCCAGTTTGTAAATGTAAATCAATGATGATGTTTCAGATACAAAAAATTTCGTCTTTTTATTTAAAAAAATTTTTTCAAAAAATGATTCTTCTATTACTTCACTTTTCTCATCCATTTTTTCAGTACGGTCCCATAAAAATTCCTTTTTCGTTAAAATGAGTTCGTAAATATATTTTACTAACTTTCAACTTATGAAATATTCGCAACTTTCAGATTTAGCGCTGGATTCGTTATTAGGCAGTGAATATAGACGGAAGCGTAAAAACGAGCGTTCAATAAGCAGTTTACATACGTTTTCCGATAGTGGTACATCGGTAACTTCCTCAGGTTCTTCAATGCAATCAACGTTGATTAGACCTGCACCTTTAACAACAGAAAATGATTCTATGTTTCATTCACAACTAATTATCAGTGATTTCCGACATACTGTAGAACAAGCGCAACATCTACACTCAGGCAAAGCCACTAATTTGGTACGTTTTATTTTGATGCTTTTTAAATTATATTTTAGAATCACTTCAGGCAGTAGGTTTCTTACTTTATATTAAAGCAATAATAAACGTATTTTAGGGTAATGGACCTGAATTGCAAAATACGAATACCAATATTCTCGACCGGAGGTAATTTATTTAATTTTTTGAGGCCGGTATTTAACCTTCCTAATGATGTATTTGGTGGCTTACTCGACTACTGAAGTAAATAGAGAAAGTGATGTTTTGTAAAGAATTTTTTTTTTTTCAGGTTACCGATTAAACCTGTTGAAAACGAACATATTGTTACTACTCATATTCAGAATTATGGTGGTGTCGTGCATCATACTCAAAAAATGCCTAAAAAGACGAGCATTAATGGACATAGTACAGGGCCATCATCTTCAGCTACACAAAAGGAAAAGTTGGTATTTGTTGTATTTATTAGTATAGTTTCTTCATTACATTTTTTTTTTCGATGCTTTTTTTCCCTTATGCGAATAACATCAAAAATTTCTAAATTCAGAAATCATTCATATCTAACAAAATCGAATGCACGGAACAGTACTGCTCCACTCGTTGTAACGGAAGGTAATTCGGCTGAGAATGTTGATATTGAAACATTGGAAGATCTAAGATGTGAATGGCAAGGATGCAAAAAAAAATTTACAAGCCAGAAGGTTCTAGTGGACCACGTTTTTACTGCTCATATCCAGGTTTGCTTTTGAAATTGAACTAATTTACAACTTCATTAGGTCTTCAATACTTTTGGTTTCTCTCACTCATCTATTAAAAATTCATATTATTTCAAAATATTAACTAAAATTTTAAAAAAAAAATTTTTTTAACAGGGTTTTATATAATAAACTCTTTGAAGAAAATCATGCGATAAAGTGGATGAAAGTATTGATGATAGACTTTTAATCTCATAAAATTAAAAATGCACTCATTATAAGTACACCGATTAAATTATGCGAATTTATAAAACATTTATACTTTAAAGATATGTTCACTTATAGGATAATATTATAATTAAGAAGATAACAATATAGCTATATACATATAGCATAAAATGATATACAGTATTTTTTGTATTTCGTAAAAATTTTAAATACTGGTGTTTTTTTTTCTAGACAACAAAAGTTTATGCATGTTTATGGGAAGGCTGTAAACGAGAAGAAGCATTTAAAGCTCAATATATGCTTGTTGTACATGTTAGACGTCATACGGGTGAGAAGCCTAATGTCTGTACGGTATGTTTTTTTCAGTGTTATATTAGACGTGGCGCTGCAAATATAATTAGAATTCAGCTACGTGTGAAACACAGTTCTTCGCTTAGGCTTGAGTTTTCTTTTAGTTTCAACTAGCTTTTATCTTTGAGGCCAAACTGACAGTTGTATTCTTTCTTTGGCCTGACTACTGGTTGGATTTTTCTCTCTTAGAAACTACCATTTTTGGAAGGAAAAATTTGTAAAATTTTCAAAATTACTGTTAATTTTATATTACACTCCTCTAACTAATTGGTCTTGTTCAAAAATACCATATTTTGTCAAGAAGTTTGTTCTAGTATCCTGGTTGTGATAAATCATATAGTCGGTTGGAAAATTTAAAAACACATGTGCGAACACATACTGGAGAGCGTCCATATCGATGTGAATTTCCGGAGTGTGGTAAAGCTTTTAGTAATGCATCCGATCGAGCAAAACATCAGAATCGCACACACTCCGATACGGTAAATAAACCAATCTTCTTTTTTTATGAACTTTTATGATTTATTAAGCTTTATTCTGAACTTTTTTATTTTTTTTTTTTCAATTTCAGAAACCATATCAGTGTATGATAAATAACTGCATAAAAAGCTACACAGATCCATCATCACTGAGGAAACACATTAAATCGGTTCACGGTGATGAAGCCTATGAATTAGCAAAAAAGAATAAAGTTTATCCAAAGCGACGTAATGGTACGGCATCAGATACAACGCAATCTTCATCAAGGTAGGAGTCTTTGCTTTTCGTAGTTCAGTCTGTATTAGAATTTAATTAAATTCTAACCAAGTTCTCTTTCATTCTATCGTTCCATGCTTCATTAAATTTCAAAATATTTAGCTAGGATTCAAAAGAATTTTTTTTCTTCGATCTTAATTGTGTGTAAAATCTTAGTATTATGTTTTTTTAAAAGGATTATGTTTTTTTTTTTTTTTTCAGGAGTATTATTGATAAGACCAATGATGATAGTGAGGATGAAATATATCGCATCAATTCCCCGACACAGATGCTTTTATCTGCTTGCTTACGTACTGTCGAGAAAAGTAAGCTGGCTTATAAACTATTCAGTATTTGGTAGCAGATTCTCGTGGTAATTTCATTATCCAAATTTAATTTTCAGTTAATGAAAACTCACCTGAAGAGAAAATTCGTACAGGCAAAAAGAAGCGTCCAAAGCGAACACCTCCTTTTCCTGATGTTTGCGTTAATGCACATTATAATTCCAGGTAAACACTTATTCACGCAAGCTTCTTCCTTTTCTCAAATATGCTGAATGTCTTAAAGTGTTGTAAAGTATGTACTTAAAAGTGTCATGTATTTCAGTGTTGATCCGTCATCTCCAGATTCTAATGGATTCAACGGACAAACAGTAACGTCAGTTAATTCAAATTCTAGTTCCGGTACGGTGCAAGTTCCACATCCATCAAACGTAACGAACAACAATGGGAACAATGTTTCGATGCTTGGTGGTCGTAGAGATTTTTGCGTTGATCGTTTTCTTCAAAACAAAGGTTTTTTTTTTTTTTTTTATTTTTTGATCTTAAATGAATTGTTTTGAGATTCAAGGAAAAAAGAATTAAATTGGAGAGAAGGAATTTAAGAATTTCAGAAAATAAGTGGTGAGGGATGTTTACTTCATTATATGTTGACAATATGACAATAACAATATATACTTTTTACTCATTTGCAGGACATTTCGATGACAGAAGCCTTAATGGGAGTATATCTCATCACGAATGCCAGTCTCGTTATGATGATTCATCACCATCACCACCTTCGGCAAGAAATAATGAAATGGCGAAGTATCAGAAAGGTTTTTTTTTTCTTTTTTTATTTTGATTCTTTTGCCGGTAATTTATCTTGGGAGAAAAAACCAGAAAACACTATATCCTTCCTAAGCGCTGTATAATGAAATTCAAGAAAATTCAGCACATATGATCTGGATGTCAAACCGGCTTTTTTCAGATGTTGAAGGATACATGTACAATCCTGAAAGAGTTTCTCCAGTAGTGCGAAATGCTTCACTCGATTGTAATGTTGTGGGTGTTACTATGGGTCATCCATTGTTGCCCAATCAAAAGTTTGTTTTGAATATTTTTGAAAAATCTTCAAAATCATTCCAGTAATCTAAAGAAAAATTGAAAGAAGTAATATGACGGAAGTAAGAAATAACTAGCTTTCAACACACGTAATGGTAATAGTTCAGCCGTTCGGTGGAACAAGTCGCGTACGCTATGGAACGCGTCAACTTGCAACCAACACCAAATATTCGTCGTCCGGTTAATCAGCATATGCAACGGCAAGGATATTATAGTAATCCGGTATGATGCTATGTCTCATACTGCAACCTGAAAGAGATTTTTTAAATTAAGAGTGACAAGTCACAATTTCCATGTCAACTAATAGCTTCTTCTTTTTTCAGTATGATGGCGATTATGAGGATTTCGATCCGATGGATCCATATCCAACCTCTGTAGGTGAGAGTGGTAGTGTGGTTACAGCTATCACGCCACCAGCAGGCCATCGAAAATGTAAGAGTTTATCAATTAATAGTTTTTTTTTTCCTTAAAAGATTTTTTATATTCAACGTGTGATGTTGGCTCAATATAGGTAGACTGTTCATTATATTTAGATATTTCCTGATTGTTTTATTGAAGTTGAATTTTAAGTTATAAGACTGAATAGAGAGTTGTGAAGTTAGAAAAATTTATAAAGCTCATATTTTGAAAATTTTTCATGAATTTTGTAATTTTCAGATTCTCCAGTGACTGTTGTTGAACAAGCGGTGCAAACTTACGATTGGGGAGTACCAATAAAGGAAATTGATGTAGCTGCACCCGTTCAAATTCCAACAGTACGATCGGAAACTATGGAAACAGAAAAGGGACCAACAATGGTAAATTTCTTTATTTTCTGAAGCATATTTAAAAACATTTCATTGAAATTTTTGAATGATAGCTGTCTAATGTTACCGAAGTTAACCAAATATTTTTCCTGGAAGCCAAAAAAACTGCTATATGTTAATCAGTTGGAGTTGGGCCGTTCATTGCATTGAAATATCTTTGGATCAAACGAAATTGTTTGATAACTTTTCAGGGAACATGAAAGTTCAGATATTCTAAAAATGATCATTTACACCGTATAGTTTATTTCATTTGCATCTTCTGAATTTTTCATTCAAGATTTTGAACTAAATTGATGCATGTCTCATTAAAATCATTTGCAGACATGCTTAAGACCGATGAAATTGCCAATTCAGCGGCCAGAAGAAGTACAAGATGATCTATATATATATAATAGTAATGCTACTGCAACACCGGCAGCTCTTTCATCCCACCATCCAATGAAAATTAAAACTAAACAAGAGTGTGGTATTTACAAAACCGAACAAATAGGTTATTACTATTACATGTCTGAATAAAGATGTTGTTAATAATTTTTGTAATTGTTAACTGTTGTTGTACTGCTTTCATGTTCGTTGACCTATTGCAAACGATTATGTCTGTGGTCTATTAATGCGGTATCCTGTCGGTGTATTTTATGTTTTTTTATAATCAAAGGTAGCATAGTAGTCTTTTAGAATTGGAATAGTTTATAATAGTTCAATGTTTTTTGATGAACCAGGATGCAGTAAGTAGGTTTTTATGGATTGTGCGATTCTTTTTAAACATAGACAGGAGGAATTTCTGTTTAGTCATAGTTAGTGATTTAGAACAGGCTTATATATTAGTCTTCTTTAGTCAAGGGAAGCTTGATTACAACTTCTTTCAATTTAAAAAAAAAAAAAAATTTTTTTCTTCGAGTAAGAGTAAAGGTTTTGCAGAGAAGCAATGTACAGCAAGCAGGACACATCAATCAAGTTCTGTAACTGATAGAAATTACTGTACGGAATCGTTACCAACAAATGATTTTTCATCAGATCCTGTACTTCCAAATGTCCATATGCAACAGATGCTTGGTGGTACAGTAGATCCACAGTATCCAGTATCCCCAAATACATACGATCATTCGGCAGTACCTTATGGGAGCCAGTATACGGACCCTTTAATGATGTCTTCCTGCATGCAAATCAACACCGATAATGTAAGTAAATATGTGCTTTGCGGGGTTTCTAACCTTATATATATGGTTGTGAGATTTGAATGCTTATCCGTTTGCATTTGTGTTTCATTTGATATATCTTTTATATGTTATGCATGGTTATATTTCAAGAAGGCATAATTTCACAATTTTTTTTTTTGTTGAAATGTTACTCTAAAAACTCTCACATTTTGATGATTGTTCTTTCTTTATGTTTGTTACATTTGTCTTGCTTTTTGACACTCTTTTCAAGCATTTAGCTTTATATTTCCTTTCTGTAGTATGTCAGATGGTGAAAATTCACTTCAGCTATATATTCGAAAGGGTATATTATTCGAATAACGGTTATATTATTCGAACAGCAGTTTTGCCGTTTTTTGAATTTTGTTTAAGTCACAGATAACTGGGAGCGAATATATTTGGATTTCATGTCTTTAATTCTCTGTCGACGAGCTTGACAACTTCTGCATTTAGATTTCATGTCTTTAATTCTCTATCGACGAGCTTGACAACTTCTGCATTTAGATTTCATGCACAATCTTTGAATATTTCGAATTTTAATTCCATTTGCTTCTCCGCATGAAGTGCTACCTTAATTATATAGACTTTTCCTTATTTGCTTTCCTGATTTCTTTGCATGTTTGTAATTTCAATTAGATAGCTATAGTTGCATAACTTTTTGAAATATTACACCTTCATAATTGCAACTTGTCCTTTTTTCATAACATCGCACGCACATAACGTTTTAATAAATCTTATGAAATATGAGTTTATCATATTTCAGTCTAGATACGGAACAGATAATTTCAATGTAACGGATCCGCATTCGAGCAGACTACAAATCGAAATGGTAATTTCAAGCATTATATCATTTTTAAATAATAGAGCAAGGGTTATCATATAAAAAGGTAATGGTTGCAAACTTCATTCAAAGTTGGACATATTTGTGCAGCATATTAAGACAAATCTGGATGCTTCTTGCACTGCTGGAGAAATTCGATAGAGCAAAGTGTCGTTTGAAGTTTTCTTCATAAGTAATTATTCATTTTATGAAAGCATGTTCAGTTCTATAAACTGATCAACAATCCTTCTAGTAGGTAAATTGAAAAAAGTGATTAAAAAAGTGTGATATTTTCATTAAATCGATTTCATGATTATTTTTTAAACACTGAAATGTTTAATCGTAACCTGTATGCAAGTGCAATACCAATGGAAAGCAAAAAAAGTTTATTCCAGTTAGAAGGTATCGTGCATTGAATATCTTTGAATGATTAGAGTATTAACTATAAAGTTATAATGTGCTACAAAGAACAGAAAATGGTAAAGCAGTTATAAAAATTTCAATTATCAAAAACTTTGTTTTTTTTTTGATGTAACATGCAAATTTTCTAAAACTTTTTTAGGAAGATTTAATCTTTTTTTTTATGCATCATTTACTTCCAATAAGTGATTGATTGGCTATATTTTCATTAAATCGGGTTTATGATCTAGATTAAGTACTTCCCAGAACAATTTCTATTGTTTACATTACTCCTTGATATAATTGGGATTGAATCTTTTTTTTTTTTTTTTTTTGAAATTACTAGACAAAACTTATAGATCTTTGAATAAATTATATAAATTTAATTACAAAATCAAAATTTTATAGCCAGAAAAAGATTCACTGCAAGATCTTGGTAACGATGATTTATTTGGTGATTTGGCTGGTATGGATCCAATTGTTCTTAGTAATGTCAATGAATTAACATCTTCATTTGAAAGTATTGAATTGAGAAATATGGAACCGGAAAGATTAAATACGGATGAACAACCGACAACAGAATGAAATGTCGTCCATTATTCAAATATGAATTGCGATGATAAGTACCACTGCTGTACATTTTGCCATCTGCTGCTTCCTCTCTCGCAATACTACTAATTAAGTTTTTTTTTTTTCTTTACATTACTAACTCTTTCTTAGTTTATATATGTATATAGATATATTGCATGATATAATTTCTAGTTTATTCAGGATGTCAAATATCATTTTTAAAACATTTTTATATTCATAGCTATAAAATTTTTTTTATTATACTCGTTATTTTTATTAGTTCGTAGTAGCATAACTCCAAGTTTCATTTGTTCATCTGGTTTAATTTTAAAAAATTTGCAAAATCATCGTTCTTTGATTCAGTGATAGATGCTGCTCAGAAGAAAAATGAGTAATTTGGAGAATTTTTTTTTAAAAAATTTCTGATGAATTTTTTTCTTTTTTTTTTTTTGTTGCATAAATTTTATGCTTCCAGAATCATATGAAAGAAATTTAGTTGTATTCATTCATTACTCATCAACTAATGATGTAACATTTAGAATTTGATTGTTTAAATTTTGGCTTAAATTTTCGAAATGTCATTAACAATTTTTTTTTTTTTGTACATGTATAGTTTTATATCTATAACATGTCCCTTTAAAAAGAAAGAAAAAATTAAAACTAAAATTGTATGAAAGCATAACGATCAAAAATGATGCATGCAACAAAAGCATAAACTTATTTAAAACAAAGTTTAAATATGAAAAGAATTATATATTGAAGTATATTCTATAAGAGTCTGTCATAATATTTCAAATAAGAAAACAATGATTGACATAGCATATAAAATATAAATGTCATATCGATGTGATTACATATTTTCATTAAGAAAGTTCATTATCAGGACAATATTAGTTATATATTGTGTATATCATTTTTGTTGGTTTATTGAAAACAAATGATAGAGGGCTATTTTGTGCCTCTGTAAATTCTTTTTTTTTTTTTTAAATTTTTATTTTTTGTATCTCTCGAATAATATACTAAGCAATTATTAATATAATAATTGCTACGAACTATTTTGCTCTTTTTTTCTTTCCGGGTCATATTAAGTATGTACTTAAATAATTTTTTTTTCTTTTGTATTTGTTCATTTTAACTTCATATTTATATCTATGTAAGTGAAGGACGGAGAGAGAGAGAGAGGGAGAGAGAGAGAGAGAAAATTCATTATTCGGGTACTTTTTGTCTACTTATAATCTATCCTTTCTGTCATATTTTTTATTTCAAATTTCTCAGCTATGAATGCCCTTTCTTTTTCCTTCATCTTTATCTTAAATATCTGAGCAAAACATTTCATAGTGATACTTCAAGTTTTCACATCTTTTTCAGAATTGCAGTTTTTGTATAAATTGAATTTCATAATGTTAAATCCGAAAAGTTGCAATAAGGAAATGAAGCTAACAATAGAAGTATTGAAGCTAAACTCTTTTTTTTTCTGAAATCATACTTCTCTCTCGACATACTTTAAAGAAAAACAGATTTTTCACAAATATAACAATCAAAGAATAAGTCTTAAGTTTCACTAGTAGTTGCTAATAGCTAATACCAGTTAAAATAAGATTCTAACAGTCAACCCTTATCATACTTTTAGAAGTTTGGTGTTATTAAGAAGCATTTGTTTGCACAATAAAATGAATCTAAAATCATATTATTGTTCTCTTAGAATGCTTCATTTCCTGTCTTATTTCATTTTTATTTTTTCTGTTGTAATTTCATTTCCACATTTTCATCTTTTCTATCGTAGTTACTTATTTCGCTTTCAATTTTTTACCACTTTTTCTTCTATCATAGTTATCTGCATTATTTTTCTTTGACCATTTTTGACTACTTTAATAAATATTTCTGACTTCGAATTTTTTAAATGATTTTGTCATCTTGTGCACGATGTTATTTTGCTTATATTGTTCAATTTATCACCTTGGACAATTATATCTAAGCTAGTATTTATGAGTGGGATATTTCAATTTCTTAATTTCAAACATGTATCCATTTTGTGATCACTATTTCTAATTAAATGATATTGTATGTGAAATTTGAATAAATTTCTCAAATTCATATGTTAAGTTTTTCTCTTACATCGTTAACTCTAATAGCTGTAGAGTTCTCTCACCGTGCATTTTTCTAGAAAAGCTACTTGATGACTAAGTCTAGGAATATGATATCTCTACTTAGACCACTAAAAAATGGTTCTAGAGAATCAACTACCCTAGGATTGTCTCTGGTATCACTTTATACTAGAATCACTTTATACTAGAAATACATGAAAATGAAAAACTATAAATATGCTCACCTCAAATTTTTATGTAAAAATGCTACCACATAGCAAATATAGGCAGTTCGCAACTTCTGGTTTTGAAATCCTGCCTGTTTCTTTATAAGAGCTTATCCTATTACAAATAATTTTTTCAGAACCCCAAATTTATGTCCCATATTTCCTCAAAAGGTTTTCATTGTATTAGTAAACGATTTGACTTCTGCTGAAATCAGGAAGTCTTTTAATAGCCAACACTTTAAATTTGTTAATATCTTAACAGTGCAAATTTTCAATCCTCACCACAAAATTCTCTGTAATAAACATGGAACATCTCTTAATAACTGGCGGCGTTTCACAGAAAGAACATTTACCACCGATAATGTAAGTTTTCATCGTATTTTCATGTAATTTCACGTAATTTCCAAAAAAAAATCAAGAATATGCTAGATAAACTACTACTGTCAATATTGGTAAAGTTGAATAATTTCTCGAGATTTCGTATTCTGTTATACTCCTTTACCTTCTCTTGTAAAGGACTGATAATCTGTTCGACATATAAACTAAATTAAACGTTTCATGTCTGCTACCATAAACCAAAAGATATATTTCAGTAACTCGATCGGACAGTAATACTATAAAAATCATCCATCCAATTGATCTGAACTATTGCTAATCCTAATTTTCAACTAAGACCTTGATTTTTAACTTTTTTAAAACTTGTTCGGAAATTTCATTGGAAATTTAATTCTGCACGGTTAAATTTGAACTACTTTTGAAGATTCATACATTTTTTCGCGACAAACTAGGCAAAACACATCCAAAAAAACATTCGAAAATCATAAAGAAATGCTTCCACTCTTTATGTGATCGTTCTCGCATTCCATTCACTGCAGCAAATTCCACGTCTACAAGGTGTTAATAGGGCATTAATTGATTATTCCCAACATCCCATGCAAAAAGTGTCCTAAAAATAGATAACGCACAGATTCTAGGTCCAATTAATTCCATTTATTTACTTTTCTAAGTTAATTAATTATTCAAGTATCCTCGTAGATAATAAATGCATATTATTCATTCTTATGCAACATTATAAAGTGAGAGATCTAACAAAATTAAAATATACTGAAAGAAATGGCATTCAGTGCCAAATTTGATATGAAATAATGTGATTTTAAATAAAAATTGTATTATAATCGCTACTCACTGTAAATTTAGCTTTCAACTATTGATAATTATTCGTAAACTATTTCATACAATACATTGTATCATTAAACACATTAAATTATTCTTAAGTTCAATAGAATTCAAAATAAAAATAGGAAGGATGAATACCATCGTTGAAAATGAACGGTTTTCAATGATGACAAGTGACAAGCGACAAGTGACAAACAACTGACATAATATTATCAAAATAGTCGGCTAAAGCTAAACAGATTGCTTAAAATCAATTTCGCTTCAAGCTCATTCATTCCTTTCCTATACGTTTATGATTTCAAGTCAGCAGAAAAAAATTAAATTTTATAAAAAACGTATATTTCATATATTATGAAAATTTAATATTCTATCAATTTCGTTTTTCAATTCTTTTCTCACTCCCTATTATTAATATATAGTACATTTGTTTTCATACTTCAAAACACTTTACAACCCCAAACAATAACATGTCACCCTCTACCACCCACCCCTCTCTCAATCCTAAAAACAGCATAGGATGGATACGAAATTCATCACAAAGGCCCTCACAGTTCAACGAATTTCCATCATCGCTGAGCAGCGATACATTCTTTTTTTGTCTTGCCGAAATTTTATGGTTCGCAACTGGTTGGGATGTGCTATGAAAATATTTGTCCCGGGAGGTGCGTTCTTTGAGAGGAGTATGGATTTAACTATGGTTGAGATTTGATGGGTATGGAGATTGTCTAGAGGTTTACTTATGTTTATGAAGTGATTTGAATTGTTTTATCATTTTTAACGTGTCTTTAAATTGTCGGTGTTACAAGTTGTTCTAATTTGTATTGCACAAAAGGTTATTGTACATATTATGGTTAGACTAAAAGTTTTTTGTTTAATTTCAGGTTGTAAAAGAAATTTTAGAATTCGTTTCAATGTATTTTACGAATTGGGAAGAATTTAGTAAGGCTGTAGATCGATTGTATACTAGCAATCCAACACGATGCAGGTTTATTTATTGATCAGAATTTTAAAAGTCATCTCGAGGAAAGTTTTAAAAGGGTTAATATTGAATGTCTGACTCATCATGGCAATTTTCTTTCTTCTTGAGAGATAAGCCTAGTTTGTATTCCCAAAAAAAAACTGTCAATGTCAATTTATCCTCCTAATCGCTGGTTAAGCTAAACAGAATAATTCAACAACTATAATTTCCTACTAACCTTAAGAGAAATAAGCAATGTGTATAGATTGTGATCGATCAATATTTGAGACTACTCAATTCAGAATGAGAGCATAGGTAATGAGTTAAAGAAATAGAAGAGTGTAAATAGTGCTGAACAGTTTATTAAATAGTCCTGTTTGTTTTATATTGCATACATCACTTTCCGTTTTTTTAATATTGGCTACTCATCTGATCGGTCTATCCTAATATGCCAGAATCAAAGAAAAAAGAATCTGTGATAAGAACGTAGTTCTGTAGTGATATGAGAGGGCCAATTCTAAAAAATTTCAAGAATCATCAGTGACAAGTAGCGGCAATTGATTCAACTATTAGTAATCAATGACATGCTCCCTTAGTATAAATATTTTGTGTACTTATGATCTTCGTTACTTGCTTAAAGAGGCATTATCAACTTGATTAATATCTTTTATTATTCATTAATTACTTCAAATTGAAGTTTTTTGTTATTAATTCTCTAATTATTTGCGCTCGTTGCAGATTTGTAACCAAATATAACCATAAAAAAGGCAAAATGACACTGAAAATGACAGATGATGTGGTTTGCCTGCAATATGATACGGATCAGATACAGGATGTTAAACGATTGGAAAAACTTACAGCAACATTAATGAGGCATATTGTTTCCAAATAGACTTTTTTATGTCACCGAATTTGATAGCAGTATTTCTATTCCATTTTTCCAGTTTATGTTTACGAATATTTTTTTCCATTAATAGGATTTTTTTTTTTTTTTTTGATGTGTGGATAATATGAATTAAAATTTGTGCAGTCGCGGAAAGTTCGAGAGTGACCTGAATTCATATACGTATAAATTTATTTGTCATATTATGAATAATGACTGTAAACTGTAAACTCTATGTTAATATAATAATATAATATTATATACTCTTGTTGATTTGAATTATTTATTTTTGCTTGCTTTGTTGTTTTATGTTTGTTACTACCATTGCATTTTCTTATTTGTGTTCGTTAAAAATTTTACATTTTCTAATGATCAACATAACAAACATTGATAGAGAAGCAAACTAAGAGAATCCTTTTATGCTTCATCTACGTAATAACTCTAGTATTATTTATAGGTGCAGAGAAAATACTGCTTGCTTTTGAATTTTATTTACTGTTTATGCATCTATAATCTAAGTCTGTTGATGGTATTCCTTTACTTTTTGATTTCATAAAGTATTCTACAAATAAAGAATTAATGATATTAACATAGGAAATACTGTTTTTTTTTTACTCTTGAGCATGCAAGCCAGTTAATGAATTATTTCCCAAATTCTATTTCCAAGATTTTGGAATAATGTGTATCTTTCTGCTAGTGATAGCTAATGATCAGCCTGATAACAGACATTTGATTCTATCATGCCAATACTTGATCTCATTTAATTGCTCTGAAATAGTAATAAAACTGATATGCTATTTTCATCAAACATTTATTCTTCAATTAATTCAATTAGCTTCTATTTATCTTTACTTAAAAAAAAAAAAAAAAAAGTTTGCTAAAATATTTGCAATATTAATTGCAGATCATTTTATATTCATTACGAAGATGAATGATGTGAAGTTTGTTCTTGTAAAATGAAAACAAACTTTTTTTGTTGGCGAAAAAAAAAAATGAAGAAAAAATTTAGTGCATTGCCAGTAAAAGTGCCTGCTTCTCCCGGGAAAGGAGCTTAAAAGAGGATATGCTTAGTCATCATCATTGTCTTAGGAATATCACTAAAATTTCTTTTCTTTCTTTTTTTTTTTCATTTTTCATTTTTCTCTCAAATAATAAACAGTTGCTGCTTGGAAATATTTGATATATTTGATTGTTAAATAGAAAATTTAAGCATTTTTTCATTAATTATACTACAAATTTACATTATTTATTAATAACAATGTCTCATAAAGTAATAATAATTCAAGAAAATTCAAGAAATAATCGTTGTTTGTCTATTCAACTAAGATTATCATCGATTTTTTTAATTTTTTAATTTAAAAATTTTGGAATGATATGAAATGATAAATTTGCGTGAAATTTCTAACGTGTAAAATGAATTTAATTTATTTTAATTTCATGCATGTAAGAATTAAAACGAAAAACTCTTCGACTATTGATCCGTTTAAAATTTTGTTATTTAAAATTGGCGATAACATATTTGAGTAACATATAAGCCTTATTTGAATTCACATTATGCTATCATTGCAAAAAGTTTAGAGGTCAAAGTTTAAAAGGGGTCAACTATATCATATTATTTAGCTAATATTTTCAATTTAATATTTCATTGTCTTATCTTTTATTTGTAAATAAATATAAATCTATGTATTTTGTGTATGTCTGTATTTATATGTATGTATGTGTGTATGTGTGTATGTGTGTGTGTGTGTGTGTGTGTGTGGGGGGGGGGGATGTGTATGTTTGTGTATTTGTATACATAGGTAGGTATGTTTGTAGTTTTATTTTTTTTTTTTGCATTCACTGAGCCATTAACTGTTACTGCTACCCATCTTTTCATCATTATTTTCTATTATTTCAAATTCATCAAAAAACGAATAATAGAAATGAAAAAATTAAATAAATTAGATTATTTATTTAAATGAATTAGATTCATTAATAAGTTAAATTAATTTATTAATTAAGTTAGATTAGTTTATTGATGAAATAAGTTAGATTAGTTCATTAATTAAGTAAATTATTAAAAGTACTAGTTTTTTTTTTTTTTTTTTTTGTATATTTAATAATGTGAAAATGAAATGAAATATTGTTGAAGAGTATGCATCTCTATGAATAAATTAATTGTAAATCTATTTAATATTAATTAAATTATTATTATAAATAAATTTCCATTTTATTAGTTAATAATTAATGCAATTATAAAATTAAAAAAACAAAAATAAATTAATGAAATAAATATGAAAAGAAAAAAAAAAACATTCACAATTAGTTGCTAAATAAAACATTGTTTAGAATATAGCGAAGAAAGAATTGAAAAGAAAATGAATGATTGAAAAATTTTTCAGTTTCATTGAAAATGCGTTAAAAATGAATGGTAAATAGTTTTGAAATAAAATAAAAGAGTGAAGAGAAAAGAGAAAAATATATTAAAGCTTAAACTTAATGTCTAGAGTTCAAGCTTATTCTCAATATCCATCACACATCACAATGTCAGAGGAGGAAGGAAAATTCATCTCATAACGGAAAATTCAGGAGGAGCAAATTTTGTGCTCCTTTCATCTTTCATTTTAACTTTCTCTCATGTTTAGTGGTAGTAGTAGCAGTAGTAAGTGATGATAGTAATAATAGTATGTGATAAAGAAAACCTGAAATTATTTCATATTTTACTTTTAGAACTTATATTAATTAATTAGTTAATTAATTAATTAAGCTTTTAAAATAATAAAAGTAATAATTGATATTTAAATCTTTTGTTATACTTTTTATGATAACAATGAATTTATAAATTTAATTTTTAAAGCAAATATTTTGGCTTTCCTTGCAATAAATATTCAATGGCTTCATCTTCAACAAATACAGCCACAGCGTCAACACCGCCAACAACGAATAATACCGCACCACTTCAACCAATCCGTCAAATGCTTCTACTTCCACCTGCTGCACGACCACCTGAATTTGAAAATCCATTGGAAAAAATTGAACAATTGCTAACATGTCCAATTTGCTTGGATCGTTACAAGTGAGATTTTATAAGTTAATGAAAGCAAAAAATTGAAATTATTTTAAAGTTATTATGTGAAAGTATACATTTATCATTTAACTTATACTACTAGCTAACTAATTAACTAATTAACTAACAATACGACTTTTTGGATGAATGTGGTTAGCTAATTTTCAAAAGCTTTTTTTTTGCTTATTAATATATTCAAAATTAATATTAAATTTATAAGTTAAAACATCAGCAATTTAAATTGTTGCAAATTAAAATGTATAACAAATTTTTATTGTCATTTTTCAAATAGTTTAATGTTTATTTTTCACTATTTATTCCTCTATTGTCTCCAATTTCAATCAATTCTTTTTTTTTTAATCAATTTCAATTATAATATTGATCTCATATCGATGGCTTTTTTTTTTTTTTTGTTCAACTTAAGATTGTTTTTAAAAATATTTGTCTTTTCCTATGACAAAAAGTAATTTTTACAAAATATTTCTATAAATTTGCTTAATGACAACTCTGTAATCTATCAATCATTTTTATTTCGATGACAAATAACATTTTGTGAAATACTAAAGTATCACTTTCTGTCATTCTATAGTAGTGCTAATCAGTTGAGATGGTAAAAAGTTGAAATTTTAAACGATGAAATTTAATTTGTGTAAATGAGGTATTCTTGTCATTTAATATTTGCATCATTCCTTATCACATATCATTGTAATATAATTTAATTACGAGAATTAAATATAATTCATTCATATTTTTTTCTTGCTAATAAAAATGAATCAAATATTATATTATTATCATTTTAAAGTCAAAAAAAAAAAGTATTAATAAAATAATTACTTTACAAAATTTGGCATATATTACACATTTTGTTATAAATTTGTTATAAATATAAATTAATAAATATGATTCTATAAATCATTTTATACGAACGAATTATATTTAAGCTGAATAATTTAGAATGGTCAATCATTATTAGATAACTTTTTGAAATTAGATATAATAAAAATAAAAATAAAAATAAAACTGGAATATATTCTGAATTAGATATAATAAAATAAAAATGAAAATAAAAATTGGAATATCGTTTTTTTTTTTCAAAAACCAATAGCACTTTTATATTTGATTTTGTTTTATTTATTTTAACCATTATAAAATTCCATCTATTAAATAAACGAAGAATATGAGATGATGATAATGATAATAAAGGAATAGAAAAAAAGGGAAAAAAAAAAACAAAATTTCAAATATTATTCATTTTTAACATAATTTGATCGTTTATCACTTAGAACAAAACAATTCAATGTTTATTCATTTAATTTTATCTATTTAATATTCAATAAATTTTGAAAATTTTTCATAGAAAAATATCTATAAGTAATTATATTGTTCTATTTGAAAAATTACTATGCGAAACACTCAGAAATGTCCATCTAATCTTTGATTAATAAATAATTTAAATTAATTTAATTTATACAGCGATGAAAAAAAAGTTATTTATTGAATGTAAATAATTTTTTGCTATCATTTCAAAATTATATCCCATAATCAGTAACAGTTATATTTGTTGACAATTAATTTATCAATTAATTTTCATTTAATCATTTCAATAAATTTCATTGTTCATTTCGTCATTTTTTTTTTTATTTTACTGTTTTTAAATGAATTTATTTTGTTTTGTTTTTTTTTTTTCACTTTAATATTACTAACATTAAAATTCAAAATGCTTCATTTTCCTTTTTTTTTTTTCCCTTTTTTTTGTTTTTGTTAATTTATTTTCACAAATGAGAGAGAAATTTCTAACTGAAATTATATTTTCTTTCATTTCATTAAAACAAAATGCTTTCAAAGAAGTTTTTTTTTTTTTTTTTTTTGCTTATTTAAAAAATATAATCGATCACATTGATTACAACAAAAATGAAATAATATTAGGAAAAGAAATTGAATGAATGATTCATCCTTCTTTCACATCTGTAATTTCATTTATTTTCCTTCTTTTTTTTTTCTTTTTTGTTTTAGAAAATATATATATAAAGGAAAAATTTCATAAATTCAAATTTAGAAAAGAAAATAAAAGAGGAAAAAAAAAAGTTTGCAATTTTTAAATTTATTTACTAATTTTTCTTTTTTTTTTTTCATTCATAAAAAAAGAAAATTAATAAAATAAATAAATAAATAAATGATGAAATATAAAATATTTACAGACAACCGAAATTATTACCATGTCATCATACATTTTGTTTACCATGTTTGGATAATTGCGTTGATTTGGTTCATCGTGTGCTCAAATGTCCGGAATGTCGAGCGGAACATCCGGTACCATATGAAGGTGTCAAAAATTTTCAATCTAACTATACCCTTACAGGTTTTTTGGATATACATTTACAAGCAACAGATGATAATGCTGCACAATTAGAAGCATATATTCAAAGGTTTTTTTTTTTTTCAACTTTTTCAATTTTTTGTTTTTTCTTTTTAGTTCAAATAATAATACCGCTAATGGTGTAATTTTGTCGATGGCATTTTAATGATTTATTGAAAGAAAAGACAAAAATAAATAAATGTAAAAGAAAAAAAAGTTAAACTAAAGAAAAAATAAAATAAAATGTTTTTTGTCTAAATTATGATAATTTCTATTTTTAATTATTTTAACCATCAAAATAATTTATATTTTATTGGAAAAAGGAATGGAGAGAAACAAATAGAGCAAAAGACAATTTCTTTTTTCTTCTTTTTTCTTTAAAGAATATTTTTGTGGAAATTTTTTGAAAATTTTTTATAATTCATTGATGTGAAAATTTTCATATATTCTTCAATTGCTTTAATTTTATCAAGAATTAACTTTCTCCTAAATGATTTAAATTTCTCCCAAAAGAATTAACCTTTCATCTCCTAAAATATATCGAATTACTCAATGAATTCATTCGTTTCGTTTCACTCTCGACCAAAATATCAGATGATGTTTGGTTTGAGGAAATGATAATGATTGAAATAGAGGAAGAGATGAGCAGGTTGCTTAAAATTTGATTACGACTGATAACAGAGAAAGCATTATGTTCCTAACAGGTGCAAAGTGTAGCTGTTTCATAGAACAAACAAAATGAAAACTCAAAAATTGCACAGCTGTTTGAAAGAAGGATGAAATAAAACTAATAGTTTGAAGAATATACCTTTGCTTATCATTTCAGTTACTGATAAATGATAATATGCATATAGCTATAATATTAACATAAAAATATGCTGAAAATTTTGTTAAGAACTGGAAAAAAAAAAAAAGAAACAAAAACTTTGAAAATTTACAGGTATAATTTGGAACGATGTAAAATTTGTGAAGAAAAAGCTATATTAGACATTTGCGCTCATTGTGAAAAACGCGCATGCAGTGATTGTCGTGCAACACATTTGGAAATGTTAAAACGTGACCTAACAAGAGTACTCAATCAGGTTCAAAATTGCTTATTTATTTTAACAATCTCAACTATGATTCAAAATTAATTGTAAAATTAAATAATTGAAAATTATTGAACGAAGTACCATCAATATTATTAGGATTATTCTGAAGATAGTAAATGAAACTTTACAATGAAAAGTAATACTAGAAAAAAGAGAAATATTTTAAAGTCCTGAAAAAAAAGATAGTTAAAAGTTTTAGAAACGATTTAGAAAGTAATTTGGCACAAAAAAAAGTGCCATATTTCAGGTTAAACGTTTATCAAATCGAATCACGGAAGCATCTGATGGCTTAAGTAAGGGAGCTGAGTTGTTAACATTGAATTGTGAAACTGCAAAAGATGAGGTATCACATCTCGTTAATTTAAACTTAAAAAAAATTTTTTTTTTTTGAGGCAATATGATTGTTAAAAAAAAGATGATTAGTTGAAGAAACTGAAATGTAACTTAATTGAATCAAATTTTTAGCATCAGTTAAAGCTTATGATTCAATTATTTGATATTAGATCACAATTTTTTTTTTAAGTTTTATTTATAGGTCAAAGAATATTTTCGTCGTTATTATCGAGAATTAAAAAAACGCGAAGAAATGTTTATCGAAGAAATCGAAACATTTAATGCAACCGAAACTCGACTTATGCGTAATTTACGCGATGTACTTGAAATCGAAAGTTCGAATATGAGCGAAGGTTTTAAATTTTAATTACAGATTTCTATATCGTAATTTTATTATTTGATTGATTGGTAAAATGAAATTTGGATAATGCTAAGATAGTTAAGTATTACTTTTCTTTTTCCAGTGTAGCATTTCCTAACTCTAAAATCAAATTTCAATTAAAATTCTGAGACAAATTACTGTTAATGAATGAAGCATCTCCCTCATTACCATTTATTATCACTATCACTATTATTATTGTTATTATTATTATTATTACTATTGTTATTATTATTATCATTATTTTATTATTATTATTATTGTTCCCTTTTTTTTGTCTGAAGAACGTTGTATGAGTTAAACCTAAGATCTGAAAAAAAAACTTTCAATTTCTCAAATTAATCGAAAATTCTAGAAAACCGGCAATATTTCTAATTTACGGATGAAAAAGAAATTTTTTTGTGTTTTTTTAAAATTATTTAAAAAAAAAAAAAAAATATTATTTAAAATTATAGGCTGTGCATATTTGGAAGCAGCATTGAAAGGTGAACGAGAAGTGCAAGACTTTGAATTGGTGAAATTAAAGAATGTCTTCTCGGATGGATTGGAATATTTGAGAAATTTTCAAGTAAACTAAACTCTTTCAAGTTTAACTTACCTTAGCATAGTTCATCATTACTCTATCATTCTTCAAATTTTTTTATTTCTTATTTGCTTGTAATATTCAAAAGTATTTTTTGTTTGAGTAATATTTTGCCTTTTGTATGCATTTCATTTTGCTAAAATAAATAGCAGAATCTTAAAAAAAAATTCAAAATTATCGCTTTTTATTTTTTTTTTCTTTTTTGTTCATAGAATTTAAATATTAGTCTATTATTTACACTTTAAATCTTCAATGAAACTAAAAGAGTTAATTATTTTGAAGTAAGAATTGATCATAATAAATATTCCAACTACATTTTTAATGAAGAAAGGAATACTGTTTCTTTTTCTTCCAGTGATTTGAAACGTACGTCATAACGTTTTATATTCACGTAAACCAAGACAAAATGATAATTTATATTATGAAAAAGAATAGAGCAATACAAATATAATAAAATTCTAACAATTAATGATAGCACTATAAGAGTAAAAGTAAAATTTATTATGCATTTTTCATTTTAAAAAATTTCCACAAAATGTTTTAGTAAAAGAAAAAATTAGAAAGTCTAAAGAGTTTACATTTAAAATATTTTAATTTGAGAACAATTTTAGGAATTTATTTGTAACTACACTTGCATCACATTTTCTGGTGTTTTTTCTCGAGAAAAAAAAATGCAAATTTTAAATTTCAGCCTGATGCCGACGAACTTTTCTCAAAAAAGTTACGCTTTTCACCTGGTGATGATGCTTCAAAGCTACCAACAGCTATTGCTAGTTTTGGTGAACTTACCGTTATGCTACCCCAATTTGCTGGACGTTATCTTCCATTGGAACAATCCTATCTACCACGTCCGATGAAAATTGGTTACGAATCGGATAGTTATAAGTATGCCAGTAAACGGATGACTGATTTGGAAGAAGGAGGTGGACGTCCCCAAAATGATTTTCGCGGTACGTCGGGTCGTTACGGAATGCGTATTAATGCTGGTGAAGAGGATATGATGTCAATTCGATATCGTCGTCGACAACAGATGGAAGAAGAAGCATGGAATCGATTAAGAGTGGAAAAATTTGACAATTCTAGTCAATTACTAGGTGGTAGTAATAATAGTGGAAGTGTCACTAGTAGTGTCACTTGTCATAAACCGGGAAATAGTCCATGGAGTCGTACCGTAGTTGGAAATGGTATGAGCCCATCTACTGCTACGACAAATGCTAGCACGAAAAATGATTTAACAGTCGCAACTGCAAAAGTTATCACTGATAGCTTATCACCAGATAATGCTATTAGCAATAGTTCAAGACAAAATGGCATTATCAATGATAACAATAATTCAGTTAAAAAATTTTTAGTTGTTCCCAAAGGTGTGGTATTAAATGAAGGTCAATCTACCACCGAATCGATTGCTACCGTAGCCAAGAATCAATCAACAACTGAACTTAGACAAACGGATGCTAATCAAACAAGTGGTACCAAAGTTTTATTACACAATTCAAGAAATACTTTAAATCAATCAAAACAATTATTAAATGATTCTGCTGATCATACAACAGCAACACAATCACAATCTCATAAATCGACTACAAATCAAAGTCATATACCATTACCATTATCAACAAATAATTATCATGATGAAAATAATCATCAAAAATCATCATCAGCATTAAAATTAACAAAGAAACCACCATTACCACGACAAATATCAAATGATGATACAAGTTTAAATGAAAAAATTGAAAATATTCGTACAGCACATGAAATGCGTCGTGCTAATCGAATGCAAAAACAATTGGTACCTTTAAGTGGTACTGCTCACAACAATGGTAGTAGTAGTAGCAATCCGGATGCTAATACAAGTGATGAAAGTGAATGCGAGAATGAACCAATTCAGCAAAAACAAACAAATAATCGTTTTCGAATTATTTGTCGTAGTGCTTCTGAATCCAAAGAATCGATGAATCATCATCAACAACGTTTATCCGATTCAACATCACTCTCATCAACATCTCAGGAAGCATTTCTAGCAAGTGAAAACACTGAAGGATCATCATTACCAATTCCGGTTACGCATTATCCAGGTGAGCAGTTACCATCCTGGTTATTAAGACGTCGACAACGTTATCAACGTTCCAAGACAAATCCTGATTTAATTTCTGTGCTAACTGCTTTAAATGGTCAACAAAGTAATTTAGCAAGTTTAGCATTTTCCTCTACTGATGGTACTAGTAATAGTACTAGTTCTAATACTACTACCAGTCAAGTACCACAATCATCAAGCAGTCGAGTTCAGCAACTTCTTCTGGAACGATCTAATCGTTTAGCTGGTGGTAGCAGTCAATTACTACGTCAAGATAGTGATAACAATGGTGGTGATATGATAACGATGACACCTGCTTCTTCCTTATTAAATCAGGATCGTCGTTTACGTTTACGTAAACGATCAAGTATTGCTTTAGATGCTGAAAGCATATATGATTGTCGTCTATTACATGCACCACGTTTCATCTGTACTGTTGATTATTTGGCAAAAGGCAAACCAAAATTGGTATTTGGTAAAAAAGGTTCCAAAGAAGGTGAACTTAATTGGCCACGTGGTCTTGCTATTTTAGGCGGTAATGAATTTGCTGTCTGTGATAGTAGCAATCATCGTGTTTGCATATTTAATACGGGTGGACGTTTGTTAAAAATGTTTGGAAAATATGGCACAGGTGATGCACAATTAGATAGTGCTGCTGGTATATGCTATAGTCGTTATAAGCATTTAATTGTTTCCGATCGTTATAATCATCGAATTATGATTTTTGATCAAGATGGACATTGTGTGAGAAAATTTGGTGGACATGGTCCATCTAATGGTCGTTTCAACAATCCATGGGGTGTAGCTGTGGATGATATGGGAATGATCTACGTTGTGGATAAGGTACGTAGATGGTACCTAACGAATAAATCAATGATAAATTTTATCATTTCAAAGAATTTCCAGGATCGTCCGAATCGGATGCAGACAATATTACTTACTACTATTAATGGATATATACAGTTTTTTAACTGCTTCTAATTTTACTACATTTGCGCTTAAAACTTTTATTCAGTATTAGTAATATTTAATCACTATTACGTTTTGAAAATTGCACTCAGTTTAAGATCAAAAATGTATTTGTGCAAAGTGCATAAAAGCACTAAGCGCAAATTTATTTTTGTCTGAAATAAGTAAATGCATCTGGCTATTCTGTGAAATCGGATTGATAAAAGCCAAGTTTTTATTTGTTAATGCCAAGAAGTTATGTCGGAAGCTTTTATCGATGAAAGAAAAGGAAGTAATCATCATTTCCATCAACATAACAACAAACTAATGATGTGCTGCACTAAAATGGACGATCCTGCGAATCATAAAATTATAATTTAAGTATTAGGCTAAGTTATTTACTAGTACTTATGCTAGGAAGTAATTCTTAATAGTTTAATTTTAAAATAAAAAGAATTAAGTGAGGTTTTTTTTTTTTTTTTTTTTTTAGGACATAATGTAAAGTCTAGAATAGATATCTTAAAATTGCTAAAAGTGGTAAAAAGAAAGAAAAATGATTGTAAATTTGAAAGAAGAATTTCAAATTTAAATTGGTAGCAACAACAAAGTGCAAATTGACGAGGAAAAAAAGCAATTCAGGACAATCATCGTGTCCAAATGTTCGATAGCAAAGGACAATTTGCTGGCAAATTTGGTACAATGGGCCCAGGAATTAGCCAATTCCATCATCCACAATTTATTGCTGTTAATAAACGAACACATAATATTTATGTAACAGACAGTTCGAATCATCGAGTTTGCATCTTTGATCACAATGGCAATCCAATTTTTCAATTTGGTTCCGAAGGATTTCAAAACGGCCAAATGAAATTCCCACGTGGAATCGCTGTTGATGATCAGGTTTTATACCCAGAACACCTCTCTCTCTCTCTCTCTCTCTCTCTCTCTTTTACCATTTCATATTTCGGAAACCTCCTTCATTCCTCAACATCATAATTTTATTTTAATCCTCATTTTTTTTTCCCAAAAAAAAAAAAAAAAAGAGCAGAACATATTGGCATGCTTGAAAAGTTATGAAAGGGAATATTTTAATCTTTATCATTTTACATTTTTAAAATTTAACTTTGCTTTATTTATCTAATTTACCACAATAAAATGATTGAAATCATTTCGAGAGTAATGTTGATAAGATTTAAAAAAAAAAAAAAACAATTTTTTTTTTCTTTTATGTCTTTCTTTTTTTTATTAATATTATTTTAGCAAAAGAATTGATACATTCAAATTATTTATCAAACTAATATAAAACTTCATCATTATCCTTTTATAATTTCTACATTTTCAAATTTAAATATAAATGCATTATGAGAAATTAAACTTATATTTCACGAATGATATTTATATATATAAATTAATTTATTTTATAATAAATTTTCAGGGTTTCATCATTGTAGCTGATAGTGGTAACAATCGTGTGCAAATTTTCTATCCAAATGGTCGTTATATGCATAGTTTTGGTACCTGGGGTAATGCACCTGGACAATTGAAAGGTGTCGAAGCGGTTGCACTCATTGATACCACAATTGTTGTTTCCGATCGTGAAAATCATCGTATACAATTGTTTTAGTTTTTTCCTTTACTCTTTCTTTCTTTCTTTCTTGTTTGATTCAAAAAAAAAATTTTTTCCCATCATGTTATTTAATAATAAATTGCTGTATTATTTCAATTATTATTGATTAATTGATTAGTCGATTGATTGATTGATTGATTGATTAATTAATTAATTAATTGATAATTTAGCATTTTGTTTAAATAAATGAAAAAAGAAATGCAATGATTTATTACAGAACAAATTTTAAATACTACTAATAGATTAAATTATAGGAAATGCTTTTTACATTAATTTAAATTAATTGTAAAATGATTCCCAAAAATAAATTACAAATTGAAGTTAGAAATGATTGAAAATTTTTACGGGTATTTTATGTGTATTGAATATTTTACGGGTATTTTACGGGATAATAATTTATGATAGAAGAAAGATGATAAAAATTTCCAATAATTAATCTCATCCTTTAAAAAAAAAAAAAGACAAATTACTATAAAATTATAAATTACTAATTAAATGGAATGTAATAGTGAATTAATTTTGAAGACTAAATGAATGGAACAGAATCGATCAAACATTTTTTGTTTACAAAAAATTTTGTTAGAGAAAACATTATTGAAACATTTTTATTCAATAAACATTTGAAATAAACATTTGATAAAATGATTTGATAAAAAAAGATAACAAAAACTATTTATTTTGTATTTGTAAAAATTTTAATTTGCTAATTTCATTAACAAAATTTAAAATATTGAAAAAAAATTTTATCACATAGTGAAATCTTACTTGAAATTCATTCATGTTTAAGAATTATTTAATATATAGTATAATTAAATAAAAATTAAAATAAGCATATTTTCTTAGTAAATTAATCCAATAAGTAAAATATTTTTCTTATAAATTAAAATAATTCTTAATCCGGTCTTATAGAAGAATGATGAGTTGCAGAAATATCCGGAAAACGTATTTTTCTTTCTCTTACAATAATTCTACAATTTACATTGATGGAAAATCGATAAAATTGGACAGTAAATTCTTTTTGGGTGGGAAAAATACAGATTAAATAGAGCAAAATTTAATTACAAACAAATTTGCCCATGGGTAAATTTGCCCATAGCAAAACTATGTGATACAAAGGCATTTTCTGGCAAATATGAAAGAAATTAAATTTGAGCAATCTAAAATAACTAATGCAGACAATGATGAATAAATATTATAATATTTTATTTATGAAATATTGAAAATGAAAATTGTTTTTTTTTTGTTTTTTTAAAAGAAAGAAAAAACATGTAAATTAATTTAAACTTTTTCAAAAAAAAAACTAAATTATTTTATGGAGAAAATTTATCAAATCATTTCATGAAATTATAAAATAGCACTTTAAATGAAATAAAGTATAGTTTTAGAAGAAAGATTTATTTTTTTTTTTACTTTCTGATATAAAACAAATCGTTGAATGATTAATAGAAAAGTTAGTTATTGTTTTGGTCGAGAAAGGCTTTTTTTTTAAAAAAAAAGTAAAAAAGGCCTTTTAACGACCGAAAAATAATTAAAGTATAAAGTAGAAATTATTTGAGGAAGAGATTGTGCAACAATAGAACATACTTTAAATGCTGATAATGAATTGATAAGAACAAGTTAAGATTAATTTTTCATCCCTTATCTTATCTTATCTTTTTTTTTTAAATTATGATTTCATTTATTAAATAAATGAAACAAACATCTTGAAACTTTTGTTTTTCTTCTCTCAAATCATAAAGATCGATCGATTCAAGAGATAAGTTGTTGCTGAAACTAAAAAAAAATTTCATTCTTTCTTTAATCAGTCAGTTATTTTCTTATTTGCATTAAGAAAATTTGTAAACAAAAACAAAAAAAAAAAAAAAAAAAGAATTGAATGAAATAAATGATCACAGTACATTCATTGATCACAAATTATAATTTTTAAAATTATTTTTTAAAATAAGAAATTAACGAAACAATCATTAAATAAATTGATTAACAAGGTTAAAAACGTATTTCCCTTTCATTGGTGTAAAAAAAAAAAGTGAAAGTAATACTATAAAAGACCCATCTATTCAAGCTAAATGAAAAAATAAAATTAGGAATTATAATTTTTGCTATATTTAATTTGAAATAATTAATTTTAATTTAGCACTCAGAAATAATCATGATAACAGCGATTTAGCACTCAGAAATAATCATGATACTAATGATTTAGCACTCAGAAATAATCATGATACCAACGATTTAGCACTTAGAAATAATTATAATACTAATGATTTAGTACTTAAAAATAATCATGATAACAAATGATGAGAATATTTTGGAATCTGATCTGATCTTTGCATTGCATAACTATCAATCAATATTCATAACAAAAAGGTCATTGAAAGGTCATATGTAATTAAATTTAAACAACATCAAAGAATGAATTGTTCAGCTAAACAAATATTGCAAAATATTTGTTGAATAATTTGAGAGATATAATTTTAGCATGAATTTAATAAATTGTTTAAGTGTAACAATTCACATTTGAGCTTCAAGCAATACCATTTACAAAATAAATTCCATTATAACTAATAAATGAATAAATTAAAGTGAAAGCCTGAAAAAAAGGAATTCATAAAAAAAAAAAAAAAAATTGAGAAAAATTATTGTTATTGATCAGCTATAATACAAATTAAATTTGAGGCAATATTATTTATTCATGTGACATCTTGGTGACATCTCTTTCCTCATTAAAATTTAAACAATTGTTTTCTCTTTTCAATTGTTTCCTATTACCGCTACAATGATCATTGCCATTGCCAGTGATATGTTGTTGATCATCGTAAAATTCCTCAAATATATTCAAAAAATAAACAATAATTTCAAAAAAAAAAAAATGGATACTTGACTAATCAATAATCATTTAAATTTAATAATCAAACAATTAATTTTATTATAAATAAGAAAATTAAATGAATGGTACAGTTTGAAACTAAGATATATCATTCAATTTTAAATATCACGAAACAAAAAAAAGAAAAACTTTTTTAAATATATCTTTTAAAATAAATAAATGAATTCTTCATTTCTTTATCATTTTATTTTAGGAAGCAAAATAAGACTTAATTTAATCAGTATTTACAAAAAAATAAAATAAAAATGATAAATATACCTCTTTAGGTATATCCATAAATTGATAAACAAGTCGTTGGCCATCTACCTTTTGCAATATTCCACGCTGATAGTAATATCTTTAAAAATATTATGTTTTACATTTCCTATCCAATTCATATCTTTCAGTTCCAATTATCATTTCAAAAAATTTCAATTTCCAATTGTCTTTTCAATTTCAATTATTATAAGATTTCATCAATTTTAATTGTTGCTATAAAAAAAAAAATTGATATAGTAAAAAATATAGAATTATATAATAAAAGCAAATAAAAAAATATTATTCTGAAATATTCTGGGATATTATTTTGGAATTATTCTAGAATTAGCTTCAACAGAAATCATAGTAATATTTAAATGAAAATAAAAACATAAACGAAATGAAATTTTGAATAAAAGAATTTTTTCAGAAATATCAAAGCTATCCAAAAATCAAAATTTAGCAAAAAAAAAAAGAGTGAATTTTATTCATAATCACCATATGATTGATGAAAAATAAATCAAATATCACCAAAATTATTAATAACTAAGAAAAAAAAAAAACTTTAAAGTTTTTTTTTTTCACAAACATTGAAACTATCCTAAAATTTATCAAACTAAATATTTATCAGTGTAACGTACGGATATTATCAAACTACTAATAACTTTATTCAATCAATTTTAGCACTTTGATATGTTAAACATAAAAATGAGTGTAAAAATTTACAAAGTAATGCTTCAATATTTGCCATTTCAATTTTTTAAAACAAATTAAAATTATTCCCTGTGAAATTTTAGAAACTAAAATTAAATTCACATTTGTAATCGATATATATATATATAATTAGAAAAAGATTAAATTAATACCTAAGAGCACGTCCCATTGTTTCATAATTCATTCCCGGTTTATTCTTATGTAAACCCCAGAGACGTGAAACAGCTTTTGAATCGACCAATTTAAAAATTCCTTTGCTATGATCCAACCATTTGATGTATTTCGGTGAATATTCCTTATTTTGCAATAAATGCAACAAAAATTCCCATAAATAATTTACTTGTCCTAAAAAAATTTCAATTTTTACAAAAAATTTTTAAACTTTCTTAATTAATTTTTTATTTTATTTTATTCAAACTAACATATTTGCGCCATTTTAATAGATAGAATGAATTCATTTGGTGCAAATATTTCAAATTGTAAAAAGTTATCTTATATTAGTAGGAATAGATGAAATATTTTGTGATTGAAAAATATTAAAAATGTGAAAGTTTAAGAAATGAAAAAGTATTGACCTTCACGACTTTTGCGCCTTCCAGTACCTGAATGATGAGGCATTAATGATGTTGGCTCACTGTATCGACGACTCATAAACATTCGCGCTGATTGTGATGAATATGGTGAACAGAAGAGTGAATTGGGAATTGTTAAATTAGTTGTGGGTGAAACTAAACATAAATAATGCAATGAACTTTTTTTCAAAACATTTTGGCGATTTTTTGAAATACTTTTTTAAACAAATAGTTCATTTCAATAGTGTGAGTTAAATTACTTTTTTTTTTTTTTTCATAGAAAAATAAGTAATATTTGAGTGATAGAGCAAAAAAGAATTATAATAAACATAATTAAATCAAAATGTGATAAGAAAAGTTTTTTTTTTAGCAAAATAAAAAAAAATTTACTTATCAAAAAGATACCAGAATATGGTGAAGTTGTACCATGTAAATTAGTACATAGAACATCTTGCAATGTTGAATGATAAATATGTGTTGATGGTTGTGGCGCTAATGTCGCTGCATCAAGAGTTGATCCATCTTTTATACAATCAGTAAAATTAGATGAAGTGAAATTATTGTGAGGCCAATTTGTAGTCGCTATAGCT